CAAAACTTCACATCCATATAGTAAGATGGGCTTGATGGTTTTGTCAAAAAGTTTTAAGTTGAGTGTGGGAGATGTTATCTTGTTTGAGGACAGGGCTGTTTTAAGAGCAAAAGTTGCTTTTAGAGCCTTTTTCTTTAAATTTTCAATTGCTTTTTTCATTGAACCTGTATTTGTAAAGGTTAAACCCAGATAATTGTACTCTTTTACTGATTCAATGGCTATATTATTTATTGTAAATGATGTTGCAGAGTCTAATTTTCCTTTTTTATTAAATATCATGATCTTGGACTTTTTTTCATTTATGTTTAGTTTCCACTTTTTACAGTAAGCTTGCAGTGTCATTAGTTTATTTTGTAGACCATCTCTGGATGCCGATATTAGGACAAGGTCGTCAGCATACAAGATGTGATTCAGTCCATTAATTGCACCGGGCTGGTTGCAAGAAAGGAAAGCCTCCTTGAGGTCATCCATGTATAAATTAAAGAGAGTGGGACTAAGGTTATCTCCTTGGCGGATTCCTAATCTTGATAGAAATGGGGTAGTGTAACCTAAACCTACCGAGATGCCTAATCTGGTGTTACTATACATGCTTTTTATGACACGGTAGAATTTCCCCCTAATCCCGAGTTTAAGTAATTTCAGTAATAGTCCCTTGTGCCATACTGAATCAAAGGCTTTTCTCATGTCAATGAAACAGGCATACAGCTTTTTGTTTTGATTGAGATACCTGTTGACTAGTGATTTCAAAGTAAAGATATGATCTGTTGTTCTATAACCTGGCCTGAAGCCTGCTTGTTCTTCACTTAATTTGTTTTCATTGTTAATATGTTGGATGAGCCTGTGTGCTAAAACTGAATTAAATAATTTCCCTAAGCAACTAGTTATGCAGAGGCCTCTATAGTTTTCAGGGTTCATATGTTCTCCTGATTTAAAAAGCGGGATTATAATTCCTAGGTTCCAAGATTCAGGGATTTCAGATGTATTTAGCACCATGTTAAATAGTTTTGTGAGCACAACTGCAAAATACTGTGCTCCTGCTTTCAACATTTCATTTCTCACCTTGTCTTCTAAATCTCTAAATCTTATATTGAAATCACAATTAACTGATATTACATCATTTAGTCAGCCTATTTAACACTCTTTAGTTTGAATAAGTACACTGTAAGGAGCAGGGTTTTATATTATATTATTCATTTGTGCTATGTTTGTACTTTCATTTTAAATAATAGTAACTTGGTGTTCAGAAATATTGTGCACTGTCATGATGACAGTCAGTTTTAAGTTCTGTTTTAGAACAGTGAATTTTCCACTTCCATCTGTGTTATCATGTATTTTGTGTTAACTCTTTATTTATTATATGATTTTCATTTGTAACGTTGTCAGTTGAAACATGATTTTAATAATTTTATAACACATTTAAGTTCATAGTAAGAGTGATGTTTCATTCTAGATTATTTCTATATGGTTGCCTGTCAATTTTTTTTCATCCTATCTGCACGTAAAATTGACCTTTTTTATGTAAGAACTAAATCATTTCACAGAAATATTTCACTTAGCTTTTGAAACATGGGCTCATTTTATATTTCCAGGGAAGTATGTTTGCTCACAATGTGGCTATGATCTTTTCCATAGCAACAGCAAATATGCCCATGCTACTCCTTGGCCAGCCTTCACACAGCCTATGAGGCCAGACAGCTTATCCAAACGAGAAGAATCACCCAGAGCATTAAAGGTATCCAGGCTATGTATTTAACCAATTTTCAGCACTTACAGACAAATCAACCTCAGAAAACTGCCGTTATGAAGAAATAATTTGCTAGTCTGAAGATAAAATTTACATGTAGCAGACAATCAAACTGAGGAAAATCTGAAAGACCAAAGAAAATGAGCACTGATATTTTCATTTTTGTATTAGTTCAATGCTTAATGTATGAATTGGTCGTCTAGGACATGTGTCGAATTTTGCATGCTGAGCATCAGACAAATAGCTGTGCACACATTTTATGTAGAGTGAAGTACTTTTTTTTTTTACATATATTGTAAAGATGATATTTATTTGTATATTTTTACTTTTCAGGTGTCCTGTGGGAAATGCGGCAATGGTTTGGGACACGAGTTCTTGGGTGACGGACCAAAGGAGGGACAGTCTAGATTCTGAATATTCAGTGCCTCCCTCAAGTTTATCCCTGCAAAGTGTGCGTTTTATTACTTATAAAAATATTAGTCAGTCTTGAATAAGACATGCTTGCACATGCATACTTGGCTTGTGGCATGCGGCATGCAGATAGCCTAAATACATGCGATCTATTTGCTATCAAAATCAGTCAAAAAACAAACACAGTTTGTTGCTTTATAAGTTATACTTTATTTTTCGACAGAGTTGCAAACTTTTATGGGAAATATACTGTCTTAATGGTAAAATAAAATTGTTTCTTGCTTTCAGAAATGCAGAGAACGACGAGGGAGCTCAACTTCATCTTCATCTCCTGGACTCTGCTTCAAACAGTTATATCAGTGAATGCTCCAGCCAGCCTTTCAGCCCAGCTGAGTACAAAGGTCATCAACTCAAATGATGTGAAGGCCAACTTTCTGTTTAAGGATCCTGTAAGAAACCATCCCAGGTCCTCAGAAGTTGAACATTTATTACAATTTCATGAATTTGTTTATTACAAGACATTGAGAATTAACTGTTTGAATCAGAGCCCTTCTATTCCCTGGATAAGGCAGAGACTGACCTCCTGTTGACCAGTCCTCTTGTACCTGCGTTTTATGAAGGTGTCCAGCCAGAGTCCATCAACGGGACAGCTGGACACTAGATCCACTGCCAGATAACGAGAAGACTGGGACAGGTGTCTGCCACATCCTTTCCACATCCCCCCCCCCCCCACACACACACACACAACTTCCCCTCAGGCTCAGCCCAGCACAATTTTCATTAAGGGTGATGAGCTAACTTTTCTGTCAGAATCATTTTACCCACATCATGTCACAAACTATTTACATCAATTTAGATGTGTAATTTCTTAAGCTAATTATATTTTAAATGTAATGGCTTAATGAAACCAGCTAGCATTAGTTTATAATAAGCACAGAAATACCTCTTCCAGTCTTGGAAATTTAGAAGCACATGTTACTTTACAACAATTTAAACTTTATTTCTTTTTTCAAAATATCTACAATTTTATGTATTATATTTGATGATAAAAGATGATGTTGACTATGCAGTGATGCCATTAACAATGATCGCATGAGAAATTGTATTTGAGTAGTTACTTCCAGACTGCTACTAAGAAAAAACTTAAAGTTGCACAGGGTAAAGTTTTCCCATGAAAGATGTATCAACAAATTTTCTGGGGTAAAAGGTACATTTCTTTGACCAACCTTTGATCCGCCTTTTCTGGCTCTTACCATCTCTGGAACAATCTGGGAAAACTAAGTCTAAGGTCACATGGCATTTCTCTGTTAAAAAATTATTTTAAAAAGCATTGCACGTTTCAGATATGTCAAATAAAAAGTGGTTTATGTATTTAACATATGTTTGAAATCTTGGACTTAATCACTAGTGCTTTGTCTGGCATATATAAGATAATTTTAAATTAGCTGTAGATACCTTTTCTTAGCATAAGGATCATTAAGTCTCTGATATTAATTATCTCAAGAGCAAAGGAATTTTGCAAATGTTGACAATATATATATTTACAAAAAGAATATGCACTATAATTTTATGCATTTCATATTTCATTTGATCTTATAAGAAATAGTATTTTTAAAACTCTGTCAGAGAATAGTTATAAATAGAATAGAGAATTTAGCACATTTTCACTATCAATATCACTGTTGATCATGAACATAAATATTAGCATGCCAGGCCTGTAGGTGTCGAGTTTCAAAAGGGTTCTTTTTCTGATAATTTGAACCATCTTACCCATTAGTTTACACAAATGGTCAAATTTCGATTCAGAGCTTTTTTTTTCTTGTCAAAAAAAAGATCTTTTGAACCCTCGCTTGCCAACACCACGATCTACTTGTACATTTCAAGAATGTCACTTTTTAAATATTTTTAACATTGTTGTAGTTTTGCTAGTGAAAGTTCCAGATTACTCAAGCATAATGTACAAGTTGAGAAAAAATATTTATTTAATTGTTGAGTTAATTTATAAATCATCTGTCACATTACTGCTTATAACTAGTATACTTTTAATAAATTATTGAATTTTACAATGATTGCAAGCATTTGTTATTTTCTTATATAAACATTGTGATGTGAAACTGACTTAAATGACACTTTTAAGTTGCTGAATAAACATCCTTACACCAATATACAATTGCCAGGAATTTCCATTACAGTAAGTTATTAAACAAAGTGGCAATAGGTCTCATTATGAAACCATTTCATTCTCTGTAAAGTTCATTATTTGCCTTTAATCAGTTCAACATCATTAGCTGATAGTGACTTGAAGCTCATCATGTTGAACTGATTAAAGGCAAATAAAGGCAAACATAAGACGAACACAAAAGGGAGAAAAAAAACACTAGTGAAGCTGCCAGTTGTGCTAACTTTCACCTACATCTCCCTGTCCTCTTTCCACATTAGTCCTACCATTCTCACCATCCCTATTTGTATCATTTTGCCTTTTATTGGTCTCATCCAACTGAGGTAATAGTGTTTGTGTTTCTATAGGTCCCTGTGCTTGGACAAGTTTTTCTTCCTGCAATTTTTTGGCAGGTTCTTGCCCTGGCCTTGCTGTAAATGTTCTTTCCTGTGGAGTTTTTGCACTGTCTTGGTCTATCCAAGCCTCTGGTTGCTCACACCAAAGTTTATAGCCCTCCTTAAGAGGAAACCTCTTCAACAGCTTGCACTCCACACACTTGACAATGACTCTCTTCAGCCCCTTTCCTATGTAAAGATATGTGCATTATTCCACAGTAATTGAATTCATCATGCTTTTAAACCAATAACAAAATGGATATATAATGTTATCCTATTTTAATAGTTATATATAATTTTAATACTTAAAAGTAATTTTGATAAAATTGTGAGTACTTGAATTGCTTAGTAAGTTACCAAGGTTAAAAAAGTTTAATCATTATCACAAAATATTTTTAAAAATAAATGTATGCATCCCTTTATAATCCATATTTTAAAAAACTTCCAAATGTAACATTGCAGAAGCTGTGTCGCATGGATTGAGACAATTACATTTCAATTACCATCACCTATCAAAAAGAGTATCTATCAGTTGATGTAATATTGAGATGGTATATGCCAGGAATGCCTACCTCTCACTCTCACTGTGGCTGAGACTCCAGGCACTAACAGCATTGAACATCTCTTACACATGGTCCTCTTCAGGCTGGGGTCTCTTATCAAATAATAATAACAACTCATCTTTATATAATAAAAATATCATAAATAAATTATAATAATAACTTTAATAAACAATAATAAGTTTGACAGACTCATTTGTCCTCTAGTTCTGTCCATGATTGAGATAAAACATACAAAGTAAGCAGAAAATATCTGTGCAAATACAATTTCTTATAATTTAAATTCCCACTTACAATCTTAGCACTTTCCTCTTTGCTATATTCTTCAGAGAATGAGTGTAAAAGCGCACCATCTCCACATTGTCTGGGTTGGAGGCTAATGCATGGTGTGCTGCCTGAAATATAACATGGGGTGCAAAAATCAGTGCTTGAGCAATGAGACAAACCAAGATTACCAAAGCCATGCACGTCTTTTTGGCATGAAATCTGAAAAGCCATGCATTAGCACTACTACATATTTTGCATCTATGGTGAGGAAAATGGCGAATTTCGGTAAACCAAGACAAAACACAAGTTGTACACTTCCGAACAAAGACAGCTCAATGTACCGGAGAAACTTTTAATTGTGGGAACATTGTTGTTGACGCTGCTGAAAGGTATCAGAGCTAATGATGTCCGCAAGCAGAGCGTTATTTACCCTACAGTCAAAGTACTTTTTCGTTGGTGGTATGTGCTTTGAGGTGTACAAAAAGTTATACAAGGCATAGATTGAACCTGTTATGTATGGGAGCGCTGTTTGGGGTTTATCGTCCTTTCCTAAGCTAGACTAGTTACAAGCTAGAGCTGGAAAATTCTTTCTCGGAGTGCGTAAACACACTACAAACACTGCAGTAAGAGGGGAGATGGATTGGACCTCAAACTTAACTGATCAATTTAAGGAAGTCTTAAGATACTGGAATAAACTTAAGACATCAGACGAAACCCGACTAATAACAAAAATCCACAAATGGTCACTTTACAAACCTCGCACCTGAGAAAGTAGAGTGTTGTCGCTTCTGTCAACATTTCTTTGGCCAAAATAGCTGTAAAAACCGCGGATGAAAATTTATGGACAATTAAAATGTGGAACTACAAAAAGTACACAAATGGGCCATGGCAATAAACTATGGACTTTTGGAACATTTAAACGTGAACTTGTGTAGGTATATCACAATCCGCTAGGGGCGCTACAGTCGTAACTGTCCAGGGGCAGTGAAGTGTAAAACTGAAGTCGGCCTGCTGACAGTTCGCCTATGGAACCCCTTTTTTTAAATCTCTCTTTTAGCGCCGCGTAAAAAAACAAATACAAGCCATTAACTAAATAAGTTGTAAATCAAAGAGTTAAATCCGGTCACGTGATCTTCCCATGTTGCAGTCTTTGACAAGTTTCGGTTCTCCTTGTTTGAAGTTTTGCCTCTACAAAATGCTAAAAAATTTCAGGTAAATGCTGGTTTCACCTTTTTGAAATTTATATCGAGCAAAGTTTATTAAATTTGCTATATTATGTAGAAAAATCATGAAATTTGAAGGTTGCGAAGTATAGTTAATTTAATGCGCAATATTACATGATGTGAAAATTACCACAGGGAAATAGCTTTGCCCTGATTAGTCACAGGCTATGTGAGCCAGACAATAGGCTGAGCACACAAAGACACACAGGATGCTCTGCTGCGCCTGAGTGATCACTGCTGGTCAGTGGGCACAGGTTTTGAGCTGAGAAGTGTGGACACTTTTGGTGGATTTTTGCAGTTAAAAAACTTCAATATCTTTGTTGCTTGTAGGAATATTTAAAGAATTCCAAATGATTTCATCCGGTTTTTGCATTACCTTTCAGATAATATAAGTATTTTAATTTTCTGATCAGTTTGGAAATTTTTCTGATATACCTACCAGTAACTTGTGACAGAATCTTTGCTTGTACAGAGCACAACGACGGGTTTTTGCTTCATTCCGCTGTGGAAGCGCACCCCTAAAGGAAGAGTGGAAACCGAAACATCATTTACCTGATACAAAAAGTTCATTCTCTGGAATGCATCTTTATTGGGCAAACTGCCCCCCTTCTTGTCTTGGCCCATAATCTGTCCTCAGTCGACCCACTGCTAGTCACATTTACACATTTCAAGGTCGTGTCAATTTGTGATAAAGAGGCACTTTACGAGGTCAATCAAGATAAACCATTCAAACAAAATTTCAGTGAATTTTTATCTTGCTTGTTTGAATTTTTCTGAATTATTTTGATAAATTCTCATAAAATGAAATATTATGTGATTCACTGTGCTTTTGTTCTTGGAATTTGTTTTGTAAAATACTGCGGTTAAATTTGTATTTGGCTTTTCTTGTATTATCTTTTTACAAACTCGTTTACACAAGGGTTAGAGGTTGGCATAAGCAGCATTGCTGCCGATTTTTAATCACGTTTATACTCTGTGCTGAATTAACGTTAGGACTATACTTACCAGTCCTGGGTTAAATATTTATATACTTTTCAGCTTTTTATTGTAAAAGGTAACAAGGAATACAAATTCCATTGACAACACCGAATATCGGGGAGCGCGTGACTGACAACGAAGTAAGGACAAGGCAAGACCGAGGTTGTGTAACTGTTTCTAAAAATTGAAAAATGTGATAATTATTTCATTCTCGTAAGACTCTAGGGGTTATGTATCACATACGGCTCTTATCATGTGGAAGCAGTATTTACATGCAGAATTTGAGACCGCTGTGTGTATGTTCCTGCTTACCTGCAACTTCAGTAAACCCCCTGACCGTCAAGTCCAGTCTTTCCTCCAGAAAGGTAATTTTTATTACTTTTTTATTTACTTTTTAAGCGGCTGATAGTTAATGTTTGAGTGTTTATATTGTGGATTTCTGTTCAAGGATTAAGCATTTTAGATATATTTCACTGTGCACGATATGGGTGGCTCCAGCAAAGAGGTTTATTATTATTTTTTTTAAATTTAATTTTATTTATTTATTGCCATTTCTGAACCCCATGTACATGCATAAGTCAACCACTACAGTACTCATATTACCCCTTTATTTCTTATGGATTTTTTACCTTTCCTTTTGTAATAATTAAAGAGTAATCAATTTCAAAAAGGAACATTTTAGAAGACAATGTTATTTTTCTCTTCAGGTTTCCACAGCAACTAAAACTAAATTAGAGGGGAAGGCTATCAGGTCTGCCAAGCATGATGTCTCCAAAAAGCAAAGTGCCAAATACAGGAGAACTGTATCAAATCTTAATGTCCATAAAACAGATGAGCTTAGTGGTCCTCATGCTACACTACTTAGAGACAACAAGATATCCCTATTTATCAAAAAATCCAAACAGATAGTTGAACTTGATTTGGACAAATTAAAAGGTGACAAAATAACTTTGTTTAGACCGAAAGTAGAGGATGGAAAGTTAATGAACCTTGACCTGGCTGATGTGTTTGGGATAGTAGAGCAGGATGTGATGTTTAGAGAAAGTGAACCACCGCCCATAGAATCTGCAGATGAAGTGGTGTGGAAAGAGCAAAAAGTACAGCTAGACCAATTGTTGGGATACTACTTAAAGCTCTCTAAGATTAGACTTACAAGTGAGTATTGAAGCATCATTACCTTCTTAGCTCAATGAAGCAAGCATAGTGATGATAATAAACTGACACATATTTGTTTGTCCCTTTTTATGAATTTTTCATTTTTTCACGAATAGGCATTTTCACATGCCCGAAGCCCTGTGCTAGTTATATTTTCTGAATTTCCATAGCAACACATACATTACGAAAAAATGATGCTGATCTTGCTGTTAAATGCATTATGTAATATTGCATTTTTCTCAAATTTGGTTCAATAACCATATTGATTTGATTAATATTCTTGTTTCAATATTTCTTTCACTAATTTTACCCCTGCATTTACAGTTACCGTAGAAGTTTGGGGCATGATGTCAAGACCCAATATATATATATATATATATATATATATATATATATATATATATATATATATATATATATATATTGCTGTCCTTTTATTTAACTATACTATGTCTACACCGTTAAAGAATCTCTGTCCATTTGTCAGCCACACCATTTTCACTGCCAACTATATTGGTCATTATACCCCAGACTGGTGTCTGAAAGCTTTACCATTTCTGCTTATAAATGTACCCATATTGAATTTCATATGATTTCCATTACAGCCCTCATAGTCATAACCACAGTAGGAGGCTACTTTCTGGCCCCAGGACCCTTTGATCCAGGGACACTGTTTATGGTCACTGCTGGGACTGGACTTATGTCAGGGGCAGCAAATGCCATGAATCAGGTATAAATTGTAGCTGGGATACAAAACTTGTGTATTATAGAATAAGAGATTAATATTCAGTCATATAATTTTACTAAGTTTCTGTTATAGCAAATGAAAAATACATTAACAACTTCCAACAGGTGTCTTGATCTAGATTTAGATTTAAAGCTGGGATACAATACTGATGTATTTCAAAAAACAAATTTATAAATAAAAGTGAAAGTATGTATATGCAGGTTGTGGTTTTGCCATATTTATTAATAATACAGCTGCAACCTTCATGAAAATATGTACTCATTACTACAAAACTACGCTTGTTCATTTAATAATTACCTGATGTGCCATAACCAAGATTCAAAATTCTCTATTTTCTTTATAATACACATATTTCACATAATTTATGAAATATTTTGTCATTCCAGTTTTTTGAGATACCATATGATTCTCAGATGAACAGAACAAAAAACAGAGTTCTTGTCAGAGGTCACCTGAGGTGAGTTGCTCTTATGTTTCACTCAGAAGAATATATTATGAAAGAGTAGCNTTTTCTTTATAATACACATATTTCACATAATTTATAAAATATTTTGTCATTCCAGTTTTTTGAGATACCATATGATTCTCAGATGAACAGAACAAAAAACAGAGTTCTTGTCAGAGGTCACCTGAGGTGAGTTGCTCTTATGTTTCACTCAGAAGAATATATTATGAAAGAGTAGCATTTTCACTTATTTCACTTTGATGATTTTGTTAACAATCATGCATTTTTAGTAAAAACATAAATAATAAGTAATAGGTAACAAACCAATACAGTCATGATATGAACTTGAAATTTTTACAACCACTTAAAACTATAGCCTCAAGTTGAAACAAGAGCCTGTTGTTTGGATTTCTCTCCAAAAAAAAAAAACTCCTTGCCTTTCAGCAACTTGCATGCTGTGACATTTGCTGCACTGGCAGGGAGCACAGGGCTGAGCATACTATACGTGGGTGTGAACCCCCTCACTGCAGCCCTGGGGAGCTTCAACCTGGGTCTTTATGCACTTGTCTACACCCCAATGAAGAGACTGAGTGTGGCAAACACATGGGTGGGGGCTTTTGTGGGCTCTATTCCCCCTATGATGGGGTGGACGGCAGCTACTGGGTCTCTTGATATTGGTGAGTGGGTGTTTTTGATAAGCATTTGGAGATTGTTAGACATCCAGTTGAGATGTTATATTTATCCACTATAAAGCTATAATTTCAGAGCAGTTGATAAATATATTTGATTGATTTTATTACTTGACTTACACCATCGCTGAACCTCATGTAATCAGAGCATGTAATCCATCAGTTCTAAATTACGTTTGTATCTAAATTTGCGCGGTTCCGGACAAGCCTGTGTTTATACGTGAGCTTCTACTGTTACATAATTCACATATCTAAAAGTGTAAAAATATTCATTTCAAAATATTGTGCATTCATCAGTATATCATGTATTAAACTGTTAGATCATAGCCATTGCACCAACTGTGCAAGTATCAATGAAGAAATAATAATAATAATAATATTTCAGGTGCATTTTGGCTGGGGGCCATCTTGTACTCGTGGCAGTTTCCACATTTCAATGCTCTCAGCTGGAACCTCAGGGCTGACTACTCCCGGGCAGGGTACAGAATGATGTCCGTGGTGAACCCCGACCTGTGCAAGAAGGTGGCCCTGAGACACTGCATGTTCATCACGGGCCTCTGTCTCCTCGGTCCCGCCCTGGACGTGACCACGACGGCCTTCATATGGACTGCAACGCCTTTGAACTTATTCCAGACTTATTTAGGTTGGAGGTTTTATAAGGAAGGGGACAGCAAGTCCTCTCGGTTGTTATTTCGATTCACCCTGATTCATATACCTCTTCTAATGGCTCTGATGCTTATTACCAAGAAACCTAAAGATGAGGGTGGTAAATTGAAGGAAGAGATTATGGAGGGAAAGACACTGGTTCATACGCACAGTTAAATTATTATGATCTACCTTTAGAACAATTGCTGCTGATGTCATACCTAAAAGTTCAAAGATTTTGGATTTCTTAATATTTTGATGGTTTTATTTACTCTGTATCAAATAATAAGTTGGGACACCAAGTGTTTACCTGCAGAATATTTACAAACATATATCATTATAGTAGACTATGTGTGATTTTTTTTTATATAAATGTGATATCATAAAACCCAAGACTAACTGATTTTATGCTCATATGCTATAATGATGTTATGTTTGCTTTTTATTTAGTTATTTATTAAGTTTATTTTATTTATATTTTGCTATTATGATTGGCATATGTCTTCACATCTTAGTCTCAGTCTCAGTATTATAAACCGTCTTTGTGGTTGATCCCCTCCCCCTCTTTTATTTCCTTTCTAACAGTAATGTTCTGTGCCGTAAAAAACGCCCATCTCTACATGATCGATTCAAACCAAAATCTAATTAGGGCTGACCTCAGGGATAACGATATCAATCTTTGTTTATTTAGAAGTAATCAGAAGACAAAGAACGCATTTAACCAAAAAAATGTAGCACTTCCTAGGGACCACCCTTTTTGTCTCTGAAATAAGCGGTTTGTTTTTTGGTGCATTTCCATGTAGCTTACATTATGACAGAAGAATTTAATAAATTATACAGGATAATTCAAACCTTATTATTTTATTATTCTTTAAATGAAAAAATATCTTGCTTTCAAACTCTAAAAATGGATAAAGATCACAATATTTCATGGGCGAGGAGTAAAGTAAAGTGAGAAAGATGGTATTTGATTGCGTCTGTCAATAAATTTCCCATTTTAAACTTCACTACCAGAGAGCCGTCTGCCCCATAGCTGTCCGTGGCCTTTCTCCACGTGTTACGTCCACAAAAAGTCGCTTACTCTGGGAACATTGCTGACACCCATAGGGGCCATTCAGAATAGATGATCCGAGTACTAACTGATCCGCCGACTAAATATGGCCGATCACACTTCAAAAGCGATGCTGCTGAATCCTGATGGTCTCCCCGCCTCTACATGCGCCATTAAACGGATTAAATTTCGGCTCCGGGGTTAAATTGCTAGGCCCCTGAAGCGACGACGCGTGTGGAGGCGAGGAGACCATCATGGAATTAGCGGTATCGCTTTTGAACTGGAGTCGGCCATATTTAGTCGGCAGATCAGTTAGTACTGGGATCATCTACTGTGAATGGCCCCGTAGATTACTGGCAACTTCACTGAAATTGGTTTGTTTTATTTTAACTTAATGTTTTGTTTTATGTTAATTTTACGAAGTATCACTCGAACGATATTTTTAATCATCAGCGTCAGATATTTTTCTCAATGGATCAGGTGATGCCATTGCGTAACCACACCACTAGTGGTGCCTTTCGGCGGTGTAATTAAAAATATGCAAAAAAAAGTCCAAAAGTTAAATATTGATGCAGTTTATTAAGATATCTATTGATATTAACTTTTATGATGACCGGTAGTGTTTGGTCGTCACAATAGGCCTAAAAACAAACAAGTTTGTTGAAGGGCGCCCAACATTAATCCGTAAGTCCTAAGCATGATCACGAAAATTTAAAAAGAAGACACGTTGGGAACTTTCAAGAGTTTACTGCCAAGTGCTTTACAAGTGAAACATGTCGCTTAGTATCAAAAAGTTTGCACCGCACCGCACCGCACGCGCAGAGTGTATCTTCCTCCCACCAGCCTTTTTCAATAACTATATTGTGAGCATATGATCTCAGTGTCGTACATGTAGCAGCAACTTTGTCCTCCTCCTTCACTGGAGCTTTGAACTTGAACCCACTTTTGTTACCTATAGAAAATTTTAATAGATGCCTTCCTATTTTCAATATCCAACCGTGAAATGTCACCTGACTCGTTTCATCCGTTAAGCCTAGGTCCCAACTACGTTTTGAACGCACGGTTTTTAGGTTCCTTGCGTCCGGGTAGGACGTAGCTAGATCGCAGGGAAAAAATCAAGTAAAGCTTAGGTCCCAACCGAACGTACGGGCTGCTACGTGTGGTCTACGGCCCAAAAATGGGGAAAACGTGGGAGTTCGTGCGTGAGGAGCACGTCTATCGTGCGACTTTTGGAGGACGCAAACAGCACGTAGAAACTTTTCGACATGATCAACAGCCGCTACGTGCGATCTAGCTACGTCCAAGCCGGACGCAAGGAAAGTAAAAACCGTGCGTCCAAAACGTAGTTGGGACCTAGGCTTTATTCAAATTATTCGCGTCCTTAGTCTGAGTATTTTTACATAGTATACATCTCATTGTGTATAAAAACTTGGTTGTAATGGAAACAATGGTTGCAATGGAATAAGGGGTGCTGCGGATCCAATTTCAACCGTCTAAGCGAAGCCAATTTTTTGTTCTTTTTTTTAACACGCTCCATTTTATATTCTATTGACTTATTACTTGGTGTCTATGGTCGCGATAAAGACGCAGTATAAATTTCCCTGCCACAGTGTTTCTTCTTCTTTGAACCTCCTCCCAATATTTCAGTGGCAGAACGTTCTTATCAAATGGCAAGAACCATCTGTCCATTTCTGGGGGGAGCACTAGAGGATACGACAGAGCTGCGAAACCGATGTCGGCGGCAGAAATCTCCGTCGTGTCAAACAGATATTGTCGTCCATCTGCAAGCATATTTTCGACTTCTTTCCAAACCCGATCAACACATTCCATATTTTCTTTAAATGTTTTTTCATCGTGTACGTTCATCTGGCTATCCATCATCCGATGACAGACTGGCCATATTAATGGGACTACGGCAGCCTGCCATGCCGGGACGTTACTCTGCCATACTTCCTTCAGCTTTTGTATTCCTGTCGTATCAGTAAAGAGATAATGATACACCGCGCGGAACACATGGTGCCCGTATGACTTTGACCCTGCGCTGATTTTTCTGTCAAACTCTTCAATGTCCGAAGAAGGAAGAAGCCAGTCTTTCTTGTGTTGCTTAGAGTTGACGTCGGCCAGATAGCGTATGCAATCACTGGACTCAGTCATTACAACCTTGTCAGCTGAAATAACAGTGGGCACCGTACCACGCCCCTTTCCGCCATTGTGATATAACGTGAGCAAATGGAACAACGGCGCACAACCAATTTCTTCCAGAGGTTCGCATGACATCTCGAAAGCCCAACGTACTTTCTCACAAAAATGAGAGTAAGGCAAAGTAATCATAACATGTCCTCTGTTAGCGTCTCCGTAGATCGTTCCTATCCGCCCTGAACACAACTTTCCGAATTTGGGAAATGTGCTGTACAGTACTGTCACCAACTTGACATGAAGTCGCCATAATATCAAAGAGATGACAATTAATGGCGTTACCGTTGCGATCGCCACGGTATTCATCAGACGTGCTGCCATGGCCGTACCTGTTCGTGTGATCGACTCGGGACGAATGCATTGAACTGGTCTTGACTCATCCCGTTTATTGGACAACAGTTATCTGAGGTCAGGGCCAAATTTCACTAAAGAAATTATGAACAAAATTGGTCCTAACTTAAAGACAGGCTTCTTCAACCAAGAATATATTTGCAGTAGCCGGTAACTTTAAATAACCGTCAGTTTAGAATATCAGCCATTATTATATTTTCTTAATTAATTTATTTATTTATTTATTGATTTATTTATTTATTTATTTATTTATTTATTGTTAAACAGATCTACTGTCCTCATTTTAGAGAACTGATACCTATTAATCTTGTGTCAAATTACTGTAGACTACAATTCCAGCCCTTAAGGTAATACCAACTTAACACTACAGTTCTTCGGTGAAACCGGTCCCGGTTGCGTGATCTGAGGTCCAGTAGGCAAGCTTGATCTCCAACCTTTGCCCCTGTTATCAACGGTTGTATAAGCAAGCCACTGTGGTACTTGATCAGGTGATCTATGTCCAGCCATGCCTCATGTTCTTTGAATAATAATAATAATAATAGTAATAATAATATTATTATTATTATTCAATTAAGTTAAAGTGTTCTTTGTATGTACTCATTAATTGTACTAAAAGTGACCAGGAGAATTCATTTCTTACTACAATAGATGTTGCAACGACATTAGAGGACAACTCAAATTATTTTACAGTTTGACTGAACGGCGACTGCACTGAAATGAAAAGTTTTTAGTAATCAGGATGGTAATCCTTGGAAACAGAACACTTTATGTACGTGATACCTCTGAAGATACCTTTATCATCGCCGGGGTAATACTATAAAAATAAGTTTTACCTTTCAAATATTAGCCAACATTTGATAATTGACTATTTTCTAATACAGGTTTTTGACTGTTTTGTAATAAAGGCCTTTAGAAGCCCCATATGACTTTTTTGTTGACTATTTTAGTTATATTGCACATCATTTTTATGAAGAAAGTCTGATAATTTTGTGAGTTCAATTGTACGCATTGTCGGATTGTATGATGATAATAATAACAATAATCAGTTATAATGATATCCATTTTGAGTAGTTCGACACATCTTTTGCCGAAAATGTAGATTGCGTTCGTTCAAGAAGTTATAAAGACTTCTTGGTTCGTTGCACTACTTTCACTATCGCCAACAATGTATTCTTTGAAGTTTCTTTGGACTTGAAGGTACAGGGGACGATTAATTGAGGAAACATATAAGCCTACAATATAATTGGGCTTTGTTAGCGCTTTCAATCCTTTTTTCCTCTATACCCAGTTTGAATACCAACTTTCCGGCAAAATGCTATTAGAATTATATTTATAAAATGAAAAAGAAAGATTCTTAACAATATAATTACAATTATTGGTCCGTTCGGTTCGAAGGAAACTCATTGCCATTTTAAATCTTCGTGCGCATTCTCGAGTTTAAAATGTTAAAATACCAATATATTACGAGCTTTTTTTGACTACATTAAATGGCGTTTTTAATAGCTGGATGATAATAAACGTCTACTTTATTTCTACACACGATAATGCTGACGGTTCTTTTCCCTCGACCTAAGCCACGGCAACTATAGGCTAAAAAGCCACCAGAAGACTTGTAAGAGTACGTTTAACGTCTCCAATATCGAAAATCGGGATATATCGGCGGTCAGGTTTTATAATAGTCACGCAATTAGCGCACCCACATGGCCTCGACGTTGTGGCTCCTAAGGGCTTGAAAGCGTTCCGTTGGAGTGCGTTTGCAGAGCGCCTCAAAATACCTTTTCTTGACTTAGTACACCTGGCCTAGTAAACATACGTATAATCAAGTCGACTTTGTGCGGGAGTTTTTTTTTTTTTTTTTTTTTTTTTTTAATATGTTTTTCTTAATACTTGAAGGTAAATTTTCGCTTTTGTAAATCGTTATATTTCTATTTCAGTTCATGTGACTACATATTCATCTATAGACACAGGCGGCTCAGTGTGCATGCACTTTCCGTCAACAAATAATCTAGATCAAAGAAAAGATGGCATCAGGAATAGAATGTGTTTAAAAAATAATAATAATAAACGCATCGATCACAACTTTTGTTAACAGTTTGTCGGTTTGAGTTATTTAAATAAAGTTGACAGTTGATTATCTGTGTCTTAGAGATATAAAAAATATGTGTAGCCCTCTGCTGTTTCACTGAAACGAGAATTTTTAGCTTTTAGGATTGTGAAAAATGGCAAACAAAGTTGACAATTAGTTCGGTTTTACAGTGAAGTTGACGGACTGTTGATATTTTGTGATTATTAATATTAGAGGCGACTGACTTTGCTCAGAAGCCCCAAAACTGACGAGGTATCTCAAAACAATGTTTACTGTACTGGTGGTTCAGACGCTCGCGGATGTGTCTTGAGAGGGCACCTTCAGGGCTATAGAGGCATATCTCTTAATGGGAGCCAGCTATATCTGTTTCGCCACTTGTTATCTTTACGTTGTTGTGAGGCTATTTGGGTCACCAAAACAGTGGCTTCTCCCGGATCTATTCACGCGAAGCTGACACCAGTTTGGCCTGTCCACTATTTATTGAAGATGTCTGTTTATAGCGCACTGATGGATGTTGCGATGACGCCACTTATCATCGCTGGGATAATACTGTGGAGAACGTTCGTTACATTTGTGGCATTCCTGTACGATTTATTTCCCAATGTCGGCAAGACCCTGTCAAGATGGCTGAAAACAATCCACGGTGATGTGGACAGGGGACACGTGGTGATAACCATACCGTATTCACATTTTTGTGAAAAAGTACGATGGGCATACGAAGTAGCTAATGAACCCTTAGAGGAAATCAGCTGCGCTACTCTGTTTCACAATTTGGCTTTGTATCACAGCGGAGGAAAAGGACAAGGAACGGTACCTACGCTTGTCACGGCTGAGAAGACCGTTTTAACCGAATCAAGCGATTGCCTACGATACCTCGCCGACATCGTTGGAAGACGGGATGGAAACAATTGGCTGATTCCTTGTCAAGAAATAGAGGAGTTCGATCGGAAACTGAGCACTGGGTCGTCTTCTTATGGACGGAACGTTGCCACTGTAACGTATTACCATTTGTTAAATGACAGCATTGGAAAACAATGTCTGTTAAATTTATTACAAAAAAATGTTCCTGCCTGGCAAGCCGCTTGTATGCCGCCTATTTGGGCTTCATCTCAGAGAATGTTAAAAAACTATTTCAAATTGAATGATGAAAGCACGTTGGACAAAAATTTAAAGGGGATAGATGAAATTTGGGGAGAAGTTGAAAAGAAGCTCCAAGATGGAAGAAAGTATATCTTTAACACGGCAGAGATTTCTGCGGCCGACATCGGCTTCGCAGCTCTGTCGTATCCTCTAGTGCTCCCCCCAGAAATGGACAGATGGTTTTTGCCATTTGATAAAAACGTTTTGCCACTGAAATACTGGGAAGAGGTTCAAAGAAGAAGAAACACTGTGACAGGGAAATTTATTCTGCGTCTTTACAACGAAAACAGGCACCAAGCCGTCAAGGTATAGACACAATGTAACCTACAAAATTAAACTTCACGAGTTCTTTGATGTATCTATCTGAGATTTATTATGAACCATTTAGGTTTTTTCGTTTAAGAACTTTATCAAATTTGTCAGATTAGTGAAGAAAAACTCACTACAAGACATGCCGCAATGGCATATAGAGGACAACATGAATATTATTTAACAGTTTGAATGAGCAATGACTTTGAACTGATAATTGGTGAAGTGAACAGTGATCAAGTTAATTAACCAAGAAAACAAAACACTTTTGACCTATATACGTGACACCTCTGGGGATATATGTAATATGTCTTTTCTCCTTACATTATGGTTAAAACATAAGTTTTTATAAACTTTTTCCAAATACAAACTCTTAAGAATTCACACATGAATCACAGTTGCTGACTACAGTAGTTTTAACAATTTAAAAATTGCACATGTTCAATTGCACATAAAGTCAGGTCACATGACAATCAAAATGAAAATAATCATTTATATAATGATAAATTAAAGCTTTTGGGTTGATTAATATGCAGTCTACATGCAACCTAGTCTATTGCTCTTTGGGTGACAAAAAAATCCTTCGCTGAAAGTGTCGATTGTGTTAGTTGCGCCACTTTCACCGTCGACGTTGCCTTCTTCCTTTACTTTTAAGTTTTTTTTTTTTAAGACTTCGTTGATAGTCTTAATATCAACAAAACTAAAAGGTAAAGGTGGCGCTTAGTTAAGGAAATCAGAACCATACATATTGGATTTAGATCATGCTTTCAAACCTTATTTCATGTGTACCCAGTTTTAGTACCAACAAATTAATTTATACAAAACACTACGAGAACTTAAGAAAATGGGAAAGAGAGAAATTATGAAACAACATGTTTGATCCGTGAATAGTTTAGAGTTTCGAGACTTTAGATTATTTCAGAACTAAGTACCGAGTCGTTTACACGAGTCGTATTAAAATTACCAATATATTATGGGACTCGCTTTATTGTCTACAAAAATACTCTTTTCATAGCTGAATGAGGATATAGACCTCTGTATAATTTATTTCTACATACGAAAACTCCGGCAGTGTTAATTCACGTCTCTCTTCCCTTAGCCCAAGCCACGGCTACTTTGGGCTGAAAAGCCACTAGAAGACGATCTTGTATAGAGTACGGTAACTTCTCCAGAATCCACACCCTGAAACTTGCTGTCAAGCGCGGGATATAACGGCGTTTAGGTTTTATAATAGTCACTGCTGTCACAAGTGTCGCAATTACCGCATCGACATTGTCGCTGGCCATGGCTTGAAAGCGTGCGGGTAGGACTTTGCAAAGCGCGTCGAAGTACCCCTGTCCGTAGTCGCTCTTGACATCGGTGGACAACTGCTCCCATTGTTGCTCGCTGTTTTTCTTTAGCGTGTCCGGATTACCAAGTGGGGTTCTTGGAGAAAAATTAATTAATTAAAATGAGCGAGAGAGAACTGTAGTAAGCCTTTTTCGTACCCTGACTCATAGTAGTAGTTATTCGATTTAACTTATAATATTGCAGGACGGTAACTTTGTTATTAAGAAAAATGGAAAGAGCGTAATATTTTTAAAGAAATTAAGGAATGTTAAATCACAACTTACTTGTAGAGGGTCGGTTCTACGCTGACAACGTCAATGTTGAATTTTTTCAACTCTCTTCTTAATCCGTCTGTGAAAGCGATGCATGCGTGCTTTGACATGGAGTACGGAACGCCACATGCAAGTGTAAACCGGCCTAGAAATACACATTGCACACAGAAAAATTATTTAGCAAATTTGTTCAAAATGCTATAAGTAAATTAACAATTGCCCTTCTTGCAGGTCAGCTTTCGCAGGTGCTGTTATTTTTAATTAAGTCCATGCTTAATTAAGTCCGGTTTAAAGTACTGTATCATGTTTAAAAATTATCATTCACCTATATACGAACGACAAATGACATTTTTATCACTTAGATGTTCCTAGTTCTCTGTAGATAAACAAACGCCTACATGTACGTCCCGATAGCATTTAAATACTTTTGATTTATTGTAATAAATATCTCTGCTTCAAAAAAACTAAAATTTTACGTAAAGTGAAACAGCAATGCGCGAGCTTTGTCAACTGTTGCACGTTTGATTTGGAGATTTAAAATTTTATCACTCGCCAGAGTGATTTTCAGAACTAGAAACCAAGACTATTGTAATTCCACTACCAAAAATTAATTTATAAATTCTAAATTTATTTATAAGTGAAACTTGTTGGGGACGCCAGAAATTATTTTTTGATAGTATGTTTCGCGTCACAACCCTGCAGACGATCCCTTATATCAAATACTTACCCGCTACGCTGTTCACATTAACTATCCGAGGATTCTCCTTAGATTTGCGAAGCAGGGGAAGAAACGCTTTGATGATTCTTACTGGCCCAACAGCGTTCACATCCATCACTTTCTGGAGGTCTTCTATTTTGACCCATTCTAGCTCACCAAACATTCCAATTCCAGCATTGTTGACCACAGCCCAGAGGTCTAGGGAGAAATTACCAAAAATTCTAAGTCTTAGTTTTTTATCAGGTGGATTCGGAAGGAAGGCATAATTGTAATAAGATTTATTTTCGTATTCAGACTCATGGTAAATGTATTTAATTTTATTTCATGTTATTTCAAATTTTAAGTTTTTTTAACTGATAGAGAAGGCTTTAATATAAAGTGTTTTGAAAAAAAAAACAGTCGTCGAAAAAGCTTTCCCATTGGTTAATTCTAAGATGTTAGGCATGGTAATGAACAAAAACTCGCACATCAAATCCAAATAAAATTTGATTCCAACATTGACAGAAACCAGGGGGACAATTATTAAATGAAAAATCTTACCCACCAGAGTCACCGAGGTTTTCTCGCACAAAAGTAAGTGCCTCTTGAACTTGCTGGTCGCTGCTGACGTTTAACTGGACAATATGGAGTCGATTACTGCAGCGTTCGCGGAGAGCTTTAGCGCCGTCTCCGTCATGAAACAGACAGGCTGCAAAAACTTTGAATCCCAGCTCATCGAGACGTTCTGCTAAACTGTATCCAAAACCGCTGTCGCAACCTAAGAGTAGAATATATATCAATTTATCAGAAAATATCCATCTTAAGCTTGTTGTTGTTTTGTAGATTTTAAATTTAGTCTTAAAATTTTGAAAGCTCTGAATGCAATTAATTCAAGACACTCTCCTAAATTTTATTCTTAAAACTTAATTTGTAAGTCACAAAGATCTTTTAGCTTTAATCTGTTTTTAAAACTTTATTTTGATGAGAAATTTGTGTCTATTATCCATATTGTTATCGTTATATATTTTTTTATTATGTATTAATTTATTCGCGTATCCAATTATTCATTTAAAAGTAAATGAAGAAATCCAGGCCAGTCTGGTTATTTAACTTACAATTAAAATCACCACTCCTTCCCGGGAATTTATCTCTTTCCTATTTATTCTAAATCATGTAGTTTTTGATGTGACATTAAATAAATAAATGAATATTTATTTCTGGTATTTTATATTCTCATATGATGTCAAGCAACTTGTAAAAAGCTGTACTACGTTAACTTTAGTAAAACTCATAATTTTGTATATCATACACAACTTTGTGGTTTGAAATATATATTTAATGTTATGGAAAATTCTTACAATCATATGGATGACAAAAACATCTAATATTACAAAACAGGATTTGTTTGTGTCATCGTTACTGACATCATGCCGTATATGTCTTACACTTGTATTGCTGTAAGCGGTGACAGACAATGACAGAAAAGCGATGCAGTGTCTCAGTGACAAGTTAATACCAAGTCCCTCCGGCAATAGAGCCCGCGGTTTTGAGACTCAGAATCAGATAAATCTAATAATACTCTTCCCAAAAATATTTTCAACACCGGGTGCGATTGTATAACGAGGAGTTGGTGTTTTTGCGTTATTATTATTATTATTATTATTATTATTATTATTATTATTATTATTATTAGGGGGTCTAAACACGCCTAAGGTCAGGCTTATGATTTGTGCTCTCTTTGCGACTATCGGTCGCCGCAAGCTCTATCAGCCGGAATCCGCCTTGATTGGGCTACAAACGAGGTTAACGGGTCGATTAGGTAACAGATCGTGCAATATCTCATCTGTATTGGATTTACGTGTTATCTGACCAATAATGTGGACCAGGCATGCAGAGAGGAAAAGAGATCACCGGGCCCTTACTACGCCAACCTACCATTCAATACCGCAGCGCGATTTTTCAGCCGAGAAGCACACTATTTGCCATGAATACATTATCAAATATGCCCGCAGAGGTATGCTATTCATTGCATAGAACACTGATAGTATTTTGCTGTCGTGCCCTCAAGAGCACCCACCAGTACAGAAAGTAATATTATGCTGCAGATCGATTCCACGCCAAGCGGTCTCGGGTGTGTACACACACTGAAGGCGGAGCACTGCATTCTGCAGATTCTGCACGGTAATGCCTCTACCTGGCGTGATGCCGCGGTTTGCTCAGTTTACCTGTGATAAAGACAGCCTTGTTGGAAGAAGAGACACTCCCGTGTGACATTGTCTCCAGCAAGATGTAGGCAGACATTGCCAGGATCACCAGCCCTGCGGCAGCAGTGACGGGGTCGGTTGCAAAGGCGCTGTAGGCGAAGTACAGGACAGGGATATAACAGAGGCCGACCAGTGCTGCTCCTTGTATATCCATGGTTTAATTCCTCTCTTGGCGTGACTCAACTTCCAGGTTATGTACTTAACATAGGAGTTGAAAATTTACCCAAAAGTCATAACTAAATGTGTACACTCTTTCTTTAATGCAATCCACTGTAGCGCGCACTGACGCACGCAACCGATAACGCCTACCACTGCGTCTGATCAATTTCATCGGGTGCGTATGTAAATAGTATTGTTCTGGGCCGTTAGGCTTACCATCTGCCTCAAATACCTTGAATAATATCTGTTTGTGTCTTGGTACTGACGTCTCTAAAGAATTACAGAAATGTTATTTCCAAAGAAAAATAAGTTGTATAGAAACAATTGTAGGGCCAAGCATTTTATTGAGGACCTACTTCGATAATCCAAGGTCTTTTGGCAACAGCATGACCTCGTTCAGTTTATGCAAAAAGATAGGAAAAGCCGCCAACCAGTCATGCAAAAGCAAAATAAAAACGAGGCATTAGTCCATTTTAGCTTATCTAATACAGGCAATTTGAACTTTATGCATTTCCCTCATTAACACTAACATTACACAAGTATTGTTATTTTAGGACCACGCTTCTTATATAATGAATATATAATATATAAAACGGTGAATAAAATGGAGGTGTTTTACGTCCTTTCGGTTTTTCAACTAAGCGAGAGAATAAATAATTAAGTTAAAAGATATATAGATATATATAGATGAATCAATAAATATACATAAATAATTTTTTATGGTTTTAAGATAAATATTTTATTATTATTTCCATATATAGAAAATTGGGATGATTTAGTGGACACCCTGCCATCATATTTAGACGTTGTCCTGCATGCATGTCAATACCTGGTTCAAATAACCACGGCGTCTCAAATCAGCACCTAAGGTGTGTTTAGAAAAATTCAAGAACAGATTGGAATTAGAAAGAATACGTCGATTTTAACGTCGAGTTCAAAAACTGGTTTGTTCAAAAATGAAAATGCACTGCCACAACGTACACAATCACGTTGAATTACGTCAACTCGCATCAAAGGCGAGTGCATATGTGTTCACGTCTTTCCGAGGTCGGGTTTTAGCATTTAAGATATATATATTTCTATTATCATAAAAAAAAATTAAGTAGCATTTCATAGCAATCTATTTGTTCAGAATATTGGAATTATTGCTTAAATGTCACTTATTACAGATAGTACTGATAATGCTTGTATCATTTGTTAGACTTGTTTTTGCGCTTTTAACTGCAGTCTTGAGTGCCTTGATGGAATAAAAAAAATATATATTAAGGCTGTTAGCCGATGTTGTCTTGAACTTACTAGACGATAGAGACATCTGGTGGTCATGAAACATGATAAGTAAACTAGAATTATCTACAAATTTCTAGAAATAAGACACCGGAGGTAGCCGATTTCAGGATATACGTCAATCCACCGCTTCGAAGGTTTATGTTGCTTGCATGATTTTCTTTAATTAAAAAAGGAAATCAAGAATAAAAGACAACTGAGACTTACCAAATTGTATCAGGTTCAAATATTTTACTTCCTCATCTTTGTATTTATTTCACGATTTCATAATAATAAATATAATAATAATTATAATAATAGTTATTATTATTATTATTAACGGTCCTTTTGGAATGAATACAATAAAACAGGTGCCGGAGGAACAGATTTAACGGGAAATGCTGCCCATTAACCTCAGCGGTAGTTAATACGGTTACACATGGCAAAAGGATATTACTCCAGTCCCTTCACTTGATAACGAACTAAATACCAGTTTGCGTGAACATGCATGTAAGTCAGGCTATTTGAAAATTTTACATTGCCTGTTTTTTTCGCATTATCTTACCGATTATTAAAACTGTACAGAGTGGTATAAAATAGTGCCTTTCTGTGAAATCATAATATTATTGGGGATCATTAAAAATAGTTACGGAAGACACTTGCGAACATTACATAGTGCGTAAGTTGTTCCACTACGGTAAGAAAAAATATTTGAGACATGTGCTTTACAGCAGTGCCTACTAAAAACCGCAAAAAGCAGAAATGTAAAAAAGGAATTTCTAAAGATATGCAGCGTGATTTAGATTTCCAAAAAAAAAAAAAAAAAAAAAAAAAAAGCTAAAGAACGAAATTAGACCCATGTGAAAATCAACGGGAAAATATTTTTTTACACACAGCACATTATGCTCCACAAAGGAGGAATAATTAACCAACATTTGCCAATAACATTTTTAAATTAAAATTTTCTGCACTTAAAAGGTTTCAACTTGAAACATTAAAAATGTTTGAGGCTCTATTGTTGACAACTGGTGGTCGTGGTTTAGGTATTTCATTTCATTATTCATGAATATCTCTATTTTATTTTGTAGTTATGGTTATCATGAAATCAGTGTGAAGATGTGCTTTTCTCAACTCTGCACAATCGTGTCTCTTATCTGCCATTTTGTTTGCGTTTCTAAAATGATATCCATTAAAGTAAAAAATACGCTTAATATAATTCAACCTACGCATATTAGGGGAAATTGTGTGTATAGTTTTCACGTATTTGTATATTGAATTATTTATTTCTGTATCTAAACTGTTGACGGGTGCTTCCTTTTCCTCTTTCACTCAGCCAGAGTAACCCAACTTTGCGAAGAGCGTTGTCCATCTGAACTATTTCGTTGTCAACCACCCCAAATATACACGATTAGGAGATACATTGTTTATTTATATAATGATGAAATCTGTTGATATTTTCGAGAGTTTTAAAGGTTATTTTTGGTAGGACATGGTCAGTTTTAAAGGTTACAAGTCGGATGGAAATATTACACATGAAAAATTACTATTGGACCATACTCGTACTTACACTTTTTGGCGCTTACTCATTTTTCATTAACGCAGTTACACAATTGTATAATATCATACAAAAAATGAAATGATATCAAATCAAAATTAGGCATCACCTCACAGATATCCGGTTGCGTTAGTAAATTCCCCTTTAATTGCTGTCGAAGCGGACCAACCTGTAATCAATATAAATACAATTAGGGAGTAGTGAGTCGTTCGAAAACCAGCTAGCGTCATACTGTGACTTACAACGGTCAATTATCAATACTCCCAGGTATCAAATTGACCCTCAATTGGGCTAAGATAGCTTCGATTTATCTTGCTCTCTATGTAAAGATCAACAAATCGAATCGTATCCGCAAGTTGTGATTGGCCCTTGTTAGCTGACCGCACTGAAGACGTCGGCGACCAAGAGCTGTTGGTTCGTAAGTGCTGAAATACGCGGTAAATGCTTGTTTTGTTTTTCCTTCTCCCTTTTCCACCCCATTTTTTCGAGATCTTGTCGTAGGTAAGAGAAGTAGGTGATGGGGGTGAGTGCTAACAAGAAATGGGCCGAACTGTTACAGTAGATTAATGAGATAGCTGTTCAAGTGCGTTTCTACGTCAGCCTATTTTAAGTAACCTGCGCAGTAGGGTCTGTATATCATGTTTGCAAATGGAATTTAGGTATATTTTAATACGTGAAATCAAATATATTTTCCTTGTGATGAAAATTATATTTTGATTACATTTTGAAAGACACATTTTATTAGAATGATACTACATTTTGCAATGTGGAATTCATGTAACGTTAACTGTATTCGTAACCTAGCAAATGATTGAAGGCTACGCGTGGGACTAAAACGCAGTCATCAATCCGTTTAGGTGGAAACGGAAAAATATTCGATTCATATGATTTGTGATAGTCCTTTTTCTCTTTACTGCTATTTGATCTGATGAAAAATAGACTACAGAAGATATATTAATAGATGACAGATTTAGCTTTCCTACCCTGGCAATAAAAGGCGAAAGGCAAGTAGGGCGCGATAAAACATCCAATGATTTTTACATATTTGGTACATTCGCTATGTAGATAAAAACACCTTTGCTGTTTTGTCACCAAAAATAGAATGTATGTGTGTAAATGGCAGTTTTATTAACGAGACCTTTGGCTTAATCGGCATGGTCCAGCGCGTTGACTACAGTCAAAACGCAACGCAAAACATGTAATGATATTTAAAGGCATAACAAGTTTCATCGTCTGCAGAAAAGGTTTTATACCATTTATGGAAATTGAATACACCTGTGCTGTTAAAAATCAAAATATGTTTGCGTATATATAAGGCATTGTGTAAACCGAGATCCTTGCTTTAATCAAAGTGGTTAAACAACATGATTACCACAGCACTGCTGAAAGTATTTCATATTTTGATATCACTGTGCACTAAAAGCCAGAAAATGTCTGCGTTAGCTAGGAAAAATACCTACATGCAGGCGCGCTGTGCAGTAAGGTAATGTACTTAACATGAATCATTTTTGTACTATTTATTTTATATTTCACCATCTTTATTGATAACTGACGTATTCAAACAATACATGATCAACAGTTCACTTATAATCTTCACTTCCCGTAATTCAACCCGAATATAAAATATTCAAACGAGCTAATGGATAGTAAAAGCAAACAAAGTATTTAGTGAGAAGTGAGATGAAAAACTGAGACTAGAACTCCAAATTTTTATCTCGGATGGGTGGGTAAAGAGCGTCTTAAAGTTCAACTCCAATCAGCAAACAGATGCACGTGAAATGCTGTTTTCAGATCATTAATTCCTCTTCGTGTGTAAAATATTTCAAAAAATAAAATCAATATCAGTTCATTCTAAAGGTTACAGATAAATATAAGAACAGTATTAAGTTGAAAATATATGATTGGATTAATATTAAGATATCTTGCTATCAAATGCCAAAAGTGCCAAAAGTGGGGCGGCAGACGATAGTCCGTCATCACATGCCAGTCACAGATGGAATTTTTCCGCCTCTCATTTTTATCAAGAAATGCGCATTTCCTTGACATTTCCGATTCTTCTTCTAGTTTTATATCTTTTTACACAAACTGCTACTGAGCGGTCTTTTACCTTCGCCGCATGCTGTTGCTTGTGTGTTTTTCAAAAATGATACTGTGACTGTATTTAGGAAAAGGGGTGTCTGTTATTTAGAATCAATGAGAGTAATTCTTTCTATTAATTCAAGACACAAAAATAAAAAATAAGCACAGTAGCATTTTAGTAACTATATTTTCTCCCTATATTATTTGAAGTGTAACCTAAATGAAGGATTAAAAAATTGCTGTACAGTTTATACACTAATTTTTCAATCTTTTTAAATAATCTCTTTTGGGTGACACATTTTTACTGTATTGTTCTAAGAATCAGCAATATTGCTCTAAGAGCTTAAACATGGCCAGTATTTTAAATCATTTTGCCACTGTGGAATTAGCTTTAAGCGAGGTGGATGATATAATTAGATTTTGGTTCTGATGAAATATATATATAAATATTACATGAAATACCTGCAGTAGTGTCGTATTACGCATTCTCTGCGTTCTGTTTATTCATATTGGTTTGGTAAAATGGAAGTCCATGTTCTTTAAACTGCCAACTAGATAGATCGATCGTTATTCTGGACTTTAAACTGGAAAAAATAGGGTAGGTACTTTGATTTGAATATTTTAGTTAGATTTCAAGCGTAAGTTAGATTAGTGCTTATTTAAGTTTTTGTGAGAATCTAATGTTGGCAGAATCTGTTCTTTGTATCTACCATCATCTTTAAACAGTAACTAGCTGATCATTTATAGCTGTATGCTACGTACCTTCTGTGAGGCACAAAACTATTGAAATAAATTCGAGTGCGAGCTACAGAGTAGGGGTGCAGTACAAAGGAGAGCAGTGAAATTAAAAAGAGTTTGAAAAAATAGCTCAACGGAAAGGTTGAGGACATTCATTGCTGGAAATTGTGTTTGTGTCCAAAAATTATGGATAACAGGAAAACCGCAAACTTATTTCACGCTGATGAAATAAGAATAATGATAATGATAATCTCCTACGTGGTGCTGTGATTTATAATGTTTTTCTCTTGTACTGCCGCAAGCTACCGGAGCAGTGTTTTCGCCGCTCTCATACGATGATACCAGACTGTTAAGACGCTCTTAATGGTAAATACAAGGTTTCTAGCATTAGTGTTTATTTTCACAACATGCCAAGTTGTTATTTTTATCAAAATAAGTCCATTTTACTGTAGGAAAATTTTTGAAAGGATTTTTAGCATCGCGTCCTGTAAATAATTAATAACTCTCATTCTGACAAATGTAAATGGAGGCGTAATAAAATCCATCCTGGTTTTGATATTATTTGCATTTGATTTCTAGCAGGTCTAATTAAATCTGCGCTTGATTTTAGCGTGAATTTAAAAATAGTGCAGCAATTATCAGACGTGACATGTTGACGAGAAAAACAACCTGGCGCGGTGCGCAGACGGTTAAGATTCAGAGGGAGTAACACTCCAATTTTGGAACAGCCAGAAACATTAATCTGATGAATTGACCTGCCGGCGGAATGTGATATCCAGCGGCCTAATGACCTGTCAATATTTTGGCCCCACCCCCGGCGGTGATGTGAACTCTGTTAGCCAATCAGCGCCATTTACCGACACACAAAAGCGAGGTTGATTGATATGCAAACGTTGAGGAATGCAGTTCAAAGAGGCCAAAGGACTGAATACACATTTTCGCGATGTACTATGTCAGCACGATTATTCATTTTCCTCGATTGATCGCAGGGCTTTGTCAGGCTAATGTTACTTGCTAAGGGCTGTTTCTTCGCACGCATAGAATTTGTAAGCTTCATAAATCCCATGGTGTGACTGGAAAGAGAGGCAAATGCCATGCACACAACTGCGCCGGCTTTATGGAGTCAGCAAGCCTTCGTGTCCTGGATGCCATGTTTAATTTTGGACAGCTAAGCTGGAATTAAAAAGGTACTTCATATTCTGCTAGTCTTAACGTTGTGGGATGCTGATTTCTCACGCGTCTTCGTGATGAAAATGACAATGAAAACATGCCTGGGCAGCTTTGCCTCATATTGGGAATTAAGTCATTCAACAATAAATAATTTGCAGAGTAGCTTTTTTTTTGCGTACTATTTGTTTTGCGAGTTTGCAGAAATGGCTTGGATCAATCAGTACCAGTAGAATCAATATACCCCTTACATAGAACGTTTGATAGGCTTCGGCCCGTTGCTCCCCAAACGCGGCTTTTAATGAAACATTTTGATAAGACAATGGCTGATTGTGATTAATCAATGATAAGGAAAGCCTGTCGAGATGAAAATCCAAAATGTCTGCTGCTAGTGACCCAAGAAACTGACCTCAATTTAACAAGATGTTGTAGACGCGGTTAAATAGCACACCTTAAATTATGCTTCCGTCATTTGAATGTTTATGCCCAGGTGTGCAGAATTTAATGGTGATGAGAATTCTGCATGCAAGCCACTGAGAATATATTTCTTTGGCCAAACTGAACGAGACATTAATTCATTCTGTGTAGTTGAATATATTATCGGCCGTGACCTCCTTTCTTTACATTTTGAGATAGGTGAATGCTATATCGCCGACAGTTTCATCCAGAACAACTCCGATATTTCGTTTGAGCCTAAAGGGCACTGCTGTCTAAAAATAAAATAAGATCTGAGTAGCAAATGTTGGATGAATGAATCTATGAGGAGTAGATTTCAAAATGGCCGTTACGGATTAGAGCGAGAGCATAGAAAAGGGCGGCTGCGTTGAAATTTAAATCGAGGTTAGTGATAATGTAAATAATAACCAAAATTAAAGAATACAATTTAGCAATGCTAAATTAATATTTTGTAGTTAATACGGGTATGAAGATCACTTTTGGGAAAAAGACATAACTAAGTGTTTACGTTAACCACCGCTTTTGAATAAATGTCACTACAAAAGCATGCTAGATCAGTAAAATGGCTTTCAAAAATAGACAGACCATTTCGGTTTATTTTTGCCACTACCAGTGTTGATATTTCCGTTAATATTTGATAATATAAATGCGTGTCAGGTGACATTGGAGAACAATCAAAATAATTATATTTTCTCCGACGAGCTTAAATGTTGGTAGAATCTGTTGGATGTTGTTTTTGTGCACACATAAGAACATGAAGAATGGTCGTCGATCTGAGAAGAAAATACGCCTTAGATTTCCAGCTCCGGTTACAAAAACTGCATTGTAAATACAGTCATCCAAACTGAAAAGTGTCATTCTTAAACACAAATACATTTATGGTTATCATATTTGGTGTAGTCCTTTTTTGTTTTGTTTAAACACACACCATGATTTAAATGATTTTAACCGCAATAGTTAATTTTTTATTGTTGCTATATTTTTGTTTTGAATAATTTATATAAATTTATTTTTAAAGAAAATTTTGAAAAATTTTCAGAGATGATGCAGTTTAAATAATTTGAAGCTGAAATGAATTTGAGTGACGTAAAATCAATTGTTTTAAAATCCAAATTATGTCTCATTTGAAATCACTTGCGGTGTCAAGGGTATGTTTGCCTTTTATGTTGTTTTGATTATGCTGGGCGTATAAGATTCCATCGTTCAATAGACGCATGATTTTTAAGGACGGTATTATTTTTAACTTACTCAAAATGCTTGTTCTGAATTTAATCCGAATTTTTTTTAAAAAAAGAAAATAGTTATTGACCATAAAAAAAACTTGTACGAGTAAGCGCAATTAAATTAGCACTGTAAGCACAATTAAATTAGCACTGTCAGCATATTTTAACAAAATAGTTATTTGAAAAAAATAGTACCCTTGCGTTTATGAGTACTCTGCCCTTGATTGCTTTTTGTTGATATTCTGTTGAAAGTAATAGGGTAAGCGATAGATATCAACTCGCGATAAATACCAGTACAGTCTGCGACGTCTAAGGCAATTTAAAGTCCTTGGAAATTTTAGTAGTTGCTTTAGATTATTTTCAAATCATTTGTAGATTTTTATCTGAATTATATGAGTTACAAGTGGGCTTGCAAGTTCAAGGCAAAGACTGCTGTTGCGCTTGTAACGCTGATTTTTCTCTGAGGTCAGCCGAGTAGTGCGTTGTCCCTGTAGCTATTCCTAACCCGTCATATTAAAAACATGATAACATTACACAATGCATTATTTTCCACTTCCAGATAATCTAAAACTGTTAATTATGATCAGTTTTTATTAAAATCTCCGATAGATACTGATGAACTGCTGCAATGTAACTACATGTACAATATTTATGGTACTGGACGTTTAATGAATACCGAATATTGAATTTTTAACAGAGGACATTTTTCTCGGGTCAGCAATAAAAATCAAAACAACTTCAAAGTGTTTAGAACAAAAGAAGTTCAGAACTATTGTGACACTTGATATAAACCATTTTTGATTCTTGATGATGCAGTAACCTTTTTCCTATCTACAACTTCTGCCAATCTTGAACAGGTATGTGTAGCCTGTTATAAGACTGTAGTATTGGATTTTTGTATTACTCCCCTTGGGGTTGATTTTCTAAACTAGATCATGCGTAAATATTTGCTACATTATAAGTTTCCAAATTTAACATCTTAATATTCCTACAGTAAATGTAAGTGACGGATTTAAGTTATTTTATATTATCAAGTTGAAGCCCGCCTTCCACTTCACGACACTTGCGATATATTGCGTATGTTCACGGTTCCGCATTATTTTCCTCTTACCACTGCGGAACTTTTCTAATATTTAAAGTCTTATTTTATTTCCGATGCCATGGACTATTGTCATTTCGGGAAAGGCACAGCGTGTGTCACGAAAAATCACCATTACAGGTTTTTTTTACCAACGCTAACATTTACAAATTTGTCGTGAACAAATTGCCCTCTTTGTTGCGTTAATGCTATGCTAGATCAACAGATGGCCGTAATCAGCTGATCCTTTCTGGGAACCAACCCAGAGCAGCCGAAAGTGCAGAAGATAAAAGTGAATTGAATGTCTATATGGTCAAGTTGGTCATCAACTGTTTGTGCAATATTCCGTAGGTCAAATGTCAAAACGAACGTCTTGTAAAGACAGTAGATATATACAAGAGGCAAAAATATAAACGCCCCATGTGAATTATTTATGTAACGTGTAATGGGCTACGGACAGTAACCTGTACCACATTGTACAATAAAATTCAGCCCGTATGATTTTATATATATATATATATATATATATATATATATATATATATATATATATATATATAAAACCCATAATACTAATAAAAAATTTTAAGAATTGCGTGGGGCGTTAATATTTTTGCTCGCCGTGTGTGTGTGTGTGTATGATTTAGATATATTGAATATCAGATATAGATCGAAAGGTCGCCTTTTTATATTACACCAAATATGCGGCAAGTTCAGTGCGATATCTTGTGCCTGGCACGGATTATTCACGCAAAACACAACCCATATCAAGGGTTTGGCAACTGGGGTTTCATATCATTTTGCTGGTCACGCTTTGCTTTCCGAAGTGAATCGTGTTTTTAACAGCTTTTTTTTTGTGAATAGGCGTAAGAAATGTCAACATTGATATTATTGCTATCCGAATAAAGTGTTTAAAGCGTTCACTGTTGGGTGATTTAAAAAGAGTATTTTAAGACGTGTAGGACTGTGGCTTTCATTAGTTCAGGGTTAATTTTAGCTGTATATTGGGTATGCTCCAATTTGCAGATCACTTGAAACTATTTTTCTCTGTGCGAGTCGTGCAGTATTTATTACTCCCAAGTTCCATTTTAGCTTTATGGGATATGTCCCAAATCCAAACCGTTTTCTCCCGTTGAATATGTGTTCACATTCATGTTAGTGTATTCCAAGTAACAAAATATATGGAGAACCGACCGTTAATTTTCTTATGGGAATTTTACACGTCAGTATTGCATTGAAGAGTATTTATTACTCTGTTGCATTAGATTTTAGCTTTATTCAGTTCGCATCAATTTCCTGACCTATTCACTACGACCAACTAAGGATTGAATAATATCAAAAAGGTCACGCGGATAGTGTGAATATTGGACGCATGCTTCCCTCTTGACCAGTAAATCGACTTTGTCCAATCACGACATGTCGGTATCACTGGTGCATTCACTGACTGAGAGCCGTCAACATATTACATTTGAACAGACGCCGAGGAATTAAAATAGTTACGGCGTTGGAATATGGCATACATCACGTTTGCATATGCTTGAAGTTTTACAAACGATGCAATGTAGGCGTCTTTGTAAGCTTTGGTTGGTAACTTTGGTCCTGAAATAAATTTCATAACAGCCATGTGAATAAAATGCATGCCATGTTTATGTGTTCTTCAAGTGATATGGACGAAACACAGGATGGCCCCCAATATCGGCTTCGACAGGCAACTTTTGTCGTGTAAACAGTATCCAAGTGATGATTTCAATAAGAAAAACACATAAAATGACAATCGCGAAGCCCCACGGACACAAAGAGGTGAATGAAAACAAATAAACTGGACCCAGAAAAGCAGACCGGATTATTTTCATTATGTAAAGAAATATTTGCCTGTGCAATCAGACATAGAGTTGTTTACTTTTAGTATTTGCGCCATTCGAGTTAATAATTGCCACTTCTTGTTAACTCAAAAGGTTCGTCTTCCCCCATATGGCACGACTGGATTTTGAAGCTTGAGTCGAGCAATATGAAACAAACAGTAAGAAATACTCGTATTTCAAACTCTTTGAACACGTCACTGAATATATGCAGGTTTTTACATTCGTGACATATGCTTATACAGGTCATATAATTTTTTATCTTTATAAATGGGAGCAACCAGTTTTATTACTATTATTATTATTATTTTCATTTTTCGCAAAGTCGGTAGAGCAGTTTACTAAATTTTGTGGGCAAAATTGCCAACGAGAATTAAACTTTAATTTATGTTACGTCTATACAT